CCAGCACGTCGAGGCGAAGCACAAGCCCAAGGCGGTCAAGGACCGCGAGGCGCGCGAGAAGAAGGCTTTTGACCGCAGCAAGGCGGCGGACGACTTGGGCGTCAAGGGCCGCACCGCCTTTGCAGCGTTCCTGGACAAGTCGCATGCGGCGGGCGCTGCTGACAAAATGGTGCGTCTGTGAACATATTCTCCACGTTGTGATCTTGAAAGAGCTACTCTTTATCTCAAGAGACGTAGGCGCGCGACAAGCGGCAAGTCGACGTGGACCGCGCCCGCAGCCTCAACGCGCCGGTGCCGCCGCCGCCGCCGCCGCTGCTGCGGGGGCCGGCCGTCCGGGCTCGCCCGTCGGTGCTTCATTTTACCGAGGACACGGACCACACGGCGCCCGACATCACGCCGCGCGCTCTGGCTCCGGGTCGCGGACGAGCCGGGCGCCATCGACCTTTTGACGAAGGCGCCCGGGAACGTCGCGCACCGCGATGCGTCGGGCGCCCGCCTCTTCACAACGGAGATGCGCACGGTGCTCATGTCGCGCGCAAACGCGCGCCGCTCGTGCCCGTTCGTCGGCTGCCCCAAGGAGCTCTGCGACGAGGGCGCCAGCTTGACGCACGCAGCGCACCACGTTCTCTACAAGCCCGCCACGGTGCCGTTCGCTGAGATGTGCCCTGTGTGCTACGGCGCCGCGTCGGAGTGCCCGGTGTTCGTCGAGAAGACGAGCAGCAGCTGCCAGCCGCGCATCGCGTGCACGACTTTTGCGCCCACGGCGGACCGCGAGACGCTCGACCGCTGCATCAAGTTCACTGCCGGTGGGCTGGCAAAGTCGTCGAAGAAGTCTCCGTCGACGAACCGTCCCATCGTCTGCCCGGCCTGCCACCCCGACCTCGCCGAGGAGGACCACAAGCTGCCCGGCGCGGTGGCCTCCAAGAAGCGCAAGGACAAGAAGCGCCCCGCCGTCTGGTCGTACAACATGAAGGCGCACTGGCGCCGCCTCCACGACTCGACGGCCATGCCGGTGGGCCTCGAGAGCGCCCTCAAGCTCGCCCCAGACGAGAAGAAGCTCCTCAAATCACTCTGAGTAGCCGTTCCATGGGTCGCGTCGAGGTGGCTTGTTCGACCCACACCTCCGGGTTTTCCTTAAAAAGCGGTCTAAAAAAACACCCATTTTTTCGTAGCCGAGCCCAAAAAAGCACTCAGTCATAGGTACGTTCTGTCGAGGGGTGGTCCGGTGCACCCCTCTTGACCATTTCCTTCCCAAAGGTGGAACCTCACGGATTTACCCGGGGGCAGACAGAAGGACAGAAGGACGGACAGACGCCGTCGTCAGACGGACAGACAAAATTCCCCCTGGTAGGAACCTAATCCTTCAATCAAAGGACCCGAAGGGCCCTTGATGACGTAAACTGACGTTGATTAAACGGCAAGGACCATTCGGGTCCTCAAAAATTGCGAGCGCTTTGTAAGGGATTGGCTTTCGCGACGCGTGTCGTGCTTTGTAAGGGGGTGCGCGCGCGCGATATCCGGCGCAGCTTTGGGGGGTGATGATTGGTGTTGTGTGTTGGGGTACAAAAGCAGATTGGCCGAGAGTCCGTGGCGCTACTCCCTGTATTACGGTCGTCGCTTTGTGAGAACGGTGTGTGGACCATTGAAGTCCCGTTTCGCATCGTCCCACATCGAGTCGCCGACCGTCGGCTTCACTTCCGTCGGCCAGTTTGACTTGATCCTGGCGCCGGCGCAGGCGTCGCGCTCCCCCCGTCCCGCGCCGGCCGCGTTGATGGAGACGACGGGCGAGCCGTTGGTGTGGCGCACGTTTTTTCGGAGCGGCCGCGGCCGACCTGGATCGTCAGGGCGCGCCCGTGACCCCTGCGAGACGAGCCAGAGAGGGAAGAACGGTAGATCGTCGAAGCTGTCGTATACCAGCCGAGGTCGACGAAGCGCTTGTGCTCGCGGTCAATCTGCTCCGTCGCATCGGGCACGGAGAGGAGGTGCGGGTTAAACACTGCTGTCAGCGGCACGTCGGCCCGCAGCTGCGCGCCGTCGACCAGGTGTGACACCACTGGCTGGTGCGGGTAGTGTTGCAGCATCGGCTGCCACCACTCGGCGTCGCGGTGCGAGCTTCCTCCGGCGTCAAAGTCGAGGGACCGTAGAGGCCGTCGCCCCCACCCACCCGGAGGTCCCAGACGACGCCGCGCGCGTCTGGGTACAGGTGGTGCTGCTCAATCATGAAGGTTCCACACGTTCGGGCGGCGGTGTCGAGTTGGGCGATGCAGCGTTTGACCCACGTACGCATCTCCAACCGCTTCGGCTCCATTATGGTGGCGTCGAGCGGCGTGCGGTGCACGTCGGGAAGCGCTCCGTCGTCGGCGGTGTGTACCGCCGCGTGAACGGTGTCGTCGCGAGCTGGTGGTTCGGTGGGCCGTCGGCGCAGGGTGTCAGGCACGCCATCTGGCAGAAACGGGACGATTAAGTCCGCGCAATGGGATTTGTCTGTATCCTTCGCTCGAAGTCGGGTCCCGTGTGCCTCCCCGGAGGTCCGGTGCGCTCTTGTAATAAAGTTTTCCGGGGATTAAAAGAAGTCTATCAAGATTAAAATGATAAAAAAATCGATGGGATTGACAAAAAGTAAAGATGAAGAAAAAGAGTCTACCGAGATTCGAACTCGGAATCTCTTGCTCCGGAGGCAAGCGCCTTGTCCATTAGGCCATAGACCCGAATCCGATCGATGCCGCTGTATCGTAACTGTTTCGACTGTAATCGCAACTTATCTGTCTTCCGCCACAAAGTATATGAACCGCATTATCGCTTAAAGTATGTGACGGCCATGCCAGCGCCGTTGCCGCCGGGCACGCGTCGCGGCACTGTGCTTCGGCCCTGGCGCACCGCTCCGAGCATTTCGACCGCAAAAGAAGTTCGACGGCCTTGGGAGGCGGGCCCCCGGCCTCGGACGCCGCTTTCGTGTCCTGGGCCGAAGAGCCGTCTCGGACGCCGCATGTGACAGGAACGCGGTCGCATGGCGCCATACAGTCGCATATAAACGCCGTCGTGTTCCGAGTCTCAATAAACTCCAAGTCGTGAATTCAAATCCCCAGACGGATCATTTTTCTGGGCGGCGCCGGACCGGGTCATATGTGGCGCGACATGTCCCTCCAGGGCCCGCCCGATCCTCGCCGCATTCCAAGAGCGTGCTCTGACGCTGTGGACGCCATAATTTCCAGGAGGGTTCT